CCCTTTGAATCCGTCACTGATGACCTAGCCCCAAACAAGTGGATTTCAAAATTGTGTATCTGGTTGCTATTCATTCCAAAACCTGGGATACCAGAAAGAGATTTGACATTTCCTGTGGTAAATGCTATAATTACCAAATAAAGTTTTTTGTTAAGATATGCCAGTGTGTGATGAGGTTACCATTATTGTAAGTTTGTTTTTTCCATACAGAGCTTGTTTCTTCGCTGGAGAAATTCTTCATTGTGCAGGCTGCTTGTGGGGATGCACATAGTGTGGTCTTAAGTAATAAAGGTCATGTAATGAGTTGGGGTAAAGATTTACATGGTCAGTGTGGTCATGGTACAGTGAACATCGACAGACCGAAACCAAGGTAATCACCATAAGACATACAAAAAAAATTATATAAAATTTCCTGTCCTACATTGAAATATTAATCTAACAATATAAATCTATTTTGCAAAATATAACCAGACCTCCCAGAAGTGACTTCTTCCTACTTTGGACATCTGTGCACCATACCGAATTATTGCTAGCACAGCGCTTGATATTAGCAATATACTGTGTTCTATTTCAATTTCTCGGTGCTTGATTGATTGAGAATGTTCTATTGAACTGCATTGAAGTCCGCAAAAATATAAGTGCCACAATAACTTTCAGGGAGTGAGTGGAGTTCTTTTTACTTTAAGAAGAAAGTGTTATCTCAAAGGATTTAACACTTCACTACAGCTCTACTCTCATGTAGGTCATTTATTACAATTTAAAATACATTTTGTTTTCTTGTAGGGTTATACATTCTCTATCTAAGGAGTTCATCGTCCAAGTCTCCTGTGGATCAGGACACACACTGGCTCTTGCAAAAAGTAATTAATGTTATATTAATCATTCGTTAAAAAAAAAACTAAATCTTTCTTAAAATTTAAACCAAATTTTGATAGTGATAACATTGACGGCAGTGGAGGCAGCGACAGTGATAATTTTGAAGTGAAGTGAGGTTCATTTTTGATGCAGTAAAGATTTTAATGATCTGAAATTTGTTTTTTGTAATTTTTAGATGTGTTTTACTACATACTTTTAAGTTAATTTGGGCCTTTCTCTTGGTATATGACGTAATATTAATAATAATAATAAAAGCAATATACAGATCCATAAGTGTTTATGATTCTTCAGCATAAATATATTTAGAATTATGCTACTCCACATGGAAAGCTAGTAATTGAAGAAGTTTTATACAGGTGGCAAACTGTTTGCTTGGGGTGACAACAGCAGCTTCCAGCTTGGATTCAATACACCTGAGCACACCCTTGCTGTACCAACTGAAATTGCATGCTTGACTGGTCTGCCAATCAAGCAAATATCCTGCGGAGGTGATCACTCCCTCGCTCTGACGTTTAGTGGTGCTGTCTTCGGCTGGGGATACAATGAATCTGAACAACTTGGAAAATATGATGAAAAAGGTAATAGTTTTTGTCCATTTCTCACCTTTTTTTTACCACTTTCAACAAATATCAGGGAGGGATCAGGAGATCTCCAAAAATTGGGGGGGGGGCGCCGAAAGTTGGGCCGATTGAGACAACACTGTCCTAGGGGGTGCGAAATTTTTGTGTTCTAGACGCCCGAAAATAACATTTCAGGCGTTCTGGGCTATCATTTTTTTCTTTTCCTTTCTTTTTTTTTTTTTCTTTCTTTTTTCGTTTTTTAACCTCCCAAAAGGGGGAGGGGGGCCGGGCTGCCCCCCCCCCCCAAAAAAAAATCCTCCCTTGAATATAGCAACTCCAATACAAATTTAATCAGTAGGCTTAACTGGCCTTACCCATTCATCATCATAGTGGTTTATGGGCGTATATATCTTGTTTCTAGATGCGGTCATGCCGAAAAGAAAACATAAAGGTCCTCGGGCTAAACAGTCATCAACACAAACACAGCAACAAATGTTGAATGAATTGTTGAAAGATTCTGGAACCAAACGAGCAAGAGACTACCCTGCATCATCTATTGAAATGCCAGAGATAGAGTACGTAAAGGAGGGAACGACCAAACGGAATACTTATGTAGGAAGAGAAACAGCACAGACAGCTGCAGCAGCAAGACAAAAGGCCAGAAAAGAATCATCCATTGTAAATGGAGGTAAGAAAGTTACTCTAGAAATTTGCTGACAGATACCAAGGAGTGCCTAGAGCCTCTCTCAGGGTCCTGGAATAATATCCCTGGTGAATTTTATTGGGAGAGATTTCTTGTTTTTTAATGGGCCAAAATTGTGCCTTTAGACCACAATATTATGAATTCGCAAAATAATATTTTTATTCCAGCAACCTCATTATGAATGTACAGGGGCATTTACATTTTCATTCAGCTCAAGTTGGTATTCCTTTGTGTGGTGTGAATTTTAATTGTTCATTGCACACCCAAATGTTATATAAAAGATATGAACTTAAAATTAAAATACAACTGACTTGTAAACTTTGATTTATTTTAGTTTCAGTAACTACGGTTCCACATGAAATTAAATTTCTGCGAGACCAGCAAATTTCTTACATTGCATCTGGACAGAACCATTCAGTGTTTCTTTCACTGGTAAATATGTTAATATATTACCTGTATTTGGTTATTAAAACTATAATGGCACCTATGTATTTACAATTATCTCCAGTGTACTGCTCAGTCTACCGCTTAAAAACTGTAAAAATGTGATACTCGGGTGTGTGGTAAATGTCACCTTATTAATACAGTTATGTACCGTCATTTAATTTTTTAGCATTTTCGCGATGCGATGTGATGCTAGAATGGATTCACTCATGCGTGACCATCTTACATTCTCTGCACAATACTATAGATTTGGGAGTATTGAGTCCTAGAATCCACGCAATGAGAACTTGGTGCTCTCGCATGTACAGATGGCTTTATGTGACGTTTTATATCCTACTGTTATTGTGCAATTGAAAGCACTCTAATAGTCTTATTTTTTCTGAATTTCTAGAATGGTAAGGTTATTAGTTTTGGAAAGAATTCTGAGGATACTGTTGATAGCTGGTCAAAAAGATGTGTAGAACTAACAGAAGCAGACAAAAAGATAATATGTGGGAGGTAAGTAACATTCCACTGTTAATTTTAATTCACTGGACTACTAAGACTAATCGGGATATTACAGAAGTAAGTGCTTTAACCAGAGGTTTCTATGGTTTGGCCAAGCCCCCTCAAGCAAACCCCTCAGATAAAAAATGTACTAGAATGTATCAGGTCTAGGATGGTATGCCCTCTGACTGCCACAGGACCTCTTTTTGTAGAAACCATAGTGCACATGTGCACCACTATACTTCATTGTATCCTTTTGGATTTGTTTGTACAGTATATTACCTCAGTTGATTTAAACACTATACATTCTCATTTTCCTTTCCCGCATAGACTATAGTACCAACATCACTGCCAATTTGTGTTTTTTTGTTTTTTTACTTCATTTCAGGCTGCACACCTTGGCCTTTATACCCTCCAGCAAAAATCTTTATATATTTGGTGCAAAATCATCGGACGACCCCAAATTCACCTTACAGGCATGCCACGAATCATTGTCAAAGCAATACTATGGCAATACTGCAGTTGCTAATGAGAGTGCTGTTGTTAACAACATTTATTGCGGTGGACTTACCTGCTACTTTGTCATATCGGAATCACTGGTATGTCGTATAAAAAAATTGACAGACTTTATAGAACTATTAAATAAAATCTATAAAATGTATAATTATAATATTTAATTAACAGAATAAAAAATATATATTGCCCTCAATGCAGTAAAGTCGGGCACACACTGCGGTAACAGTCTTCGGCCAACATGGTACCGTGGAAAGGGGCAGATCCATAATTTTTGGGAATCGCAATACTTTTTTGCCGTAATTATTCGGATGCATTTATTTCTTTTTTAGCCAACCATACAGGGCAGTTTTAGACAGGAATACACCTCAGATCGAGTGATTTATCAACTGGATGAGAAGTCCATATCAAGGCTCACAACCGTACGCTCACAGGCTTCTCGAAAAGGTGTTGCGAAAGCCATTAGCCGTTTGTTCTCATCATCGGCATGCTTGAATAGATCATTCCTTACAAGGTATGCTGTATATTATTGACATATTTACAACACTTTCTTTGTTAAATGTCAATTTGTTGTGGACTGTTATTATCATCATCATTATCGTTAAGTCATTGGTCGAATGTTCAATTTGACCTATGTAAACATTATAGAATACATTACTTTTTTCAGAAAACAGTAGGGGAAGTCTCCCAGTATACTACCCAATTCACCATTTAGGACTCGTGAAAACAAGTCTAGACTTCGAGGGTTCTCTTGTTATGTTTACACCAAAATTACTCCTAAACTATTATATAAAGTGTTAAATATTTCATACTTAAATTCTAGGCGTCTGTTTGTTTTTTTAAAAAGCGGGTAATAACTTAACCATCACTCCTTTGAAATAGGTTTGAATAATAGTTCGTAAATTCCTGGGGGAAAAAGTACTATCACGTTAAACGATAGTACTTTTTTGCCCTGTCGCAATGTAATCTCCAGGCCCCACTTATAACATTGCTATGTCATTTATGGTATGCAAGGATCTTAAGGGGACGCAACCTCTACGACGCTGAGGAAGTAAACCTAGGCCTACTTGAGGTACTCTGTTCAACTTTAATCTATGTGTGAGGTATTGACTGCTCTGGCTTTGGGTAACAGTGGAACTTGTAGCCCTTTGGTGATGGAGACCGTAACCTACTATCTTAGTAGACTATGGTCTTCACACCTCCTTGGGGCATTCCCCTTATGAGCAGTCAATATTTGTATACATGTACAGCATTTTAAATTATATGTTGAATAGCAAACTTGTGATATGCAGTACTTTTGTTTGGTTTACGTTGCAGTGATCATTATTGCTGCAGTGAAAAGAACCCAGGCCTTGATCTCGACAGAGCAAGGAAAGCCTTTGAAACACTCTCCCGCAAGCATACTATCCTGTCACAGGTGAGTAGTAGTACAGGTATATGTGATACAGGTGTGTATGATACAGGTGTAAATGATTTTAATGATTTTAACTAATGTCCCAAGGTTTCCTAATTCCATGACAGATTGCACATAATTTCCAATTAAACTTCACTGTTTTTTCTCTTTACAAAATTTTACTTGCATATATATTTGTCTTTGTTCCACTGAATTATAACATTATATTTTGATTATGTATGTTTGTATTCTGAGTTCAGTAATTCGGCCTCTGTAATATCAGCATTGCTGAAAGAGTCGCCCACTATAAATATGGTTCAAATATATAAAATAAAATGATTAAATGAATTCGAGGAGCCGAGCAATCGACTCAAATTAAAATCCAACATTGGCCAGATTTGAACCGGGGGTCTTCAGTATAGGAAGCACATACATAACCTCTCGGCCAAATGCTCAGCTCAGTTATATTCAATTAAACTATACTTCTAAAAACCTGAAAAATATTATTATTTGATATTGTAAAATTATTACACTAATTTCATTTTATATAGAAATGAAAAATTTAAATTAACAATTTTCAGATTTCTGAGGTAATACATAAACAGCTGAGTCCAACTTTATTGAAGTCACCTCCTGGTATAGAAGCACTTAGACTTTACTTGTTACTACTGGAATTTCCCACAATGGGATTCCCTGAATCGTATCTTCAATCCATCGTTAGCATCACTAAAGCATTGTGCAGTCTTACACCTGAGATGTCGAAAGTGATTGGTAGGTACTTTTCTGGCAATTACATACTTGGAATTGTCATATTGTACTGCCATTGCACATAAATAATGTAGATGTAACTAAAAAAACAATCATGAATTAGCATGAATAGATATTAACAACCAGACGGGGCCGTGCCAGCCCCCAGTTGGTCTGGATCCAACTCCCTAACAAACACTTGTGGCCTAGCCAGGCTTAAACAATATGCTACAGCATATTCATTTGAATGGTACAAATTAACATATAGGAATTGTGACTAAAACTATACAAAGCATGATGTCAAATGAATTAATGTCAATGATTATATTGCTCTTTTGTGGTAGATTCCTGGATTGGAAATTTTCCGCCTGATCGTCTGGAACATCTTATAGCTGTTTTTAAAAATGTGATTGTGGATTTGGTGTCCAAGCAACGGGAAAAACTAATGTTTTTGAACTTCTCATATGAAAGGGAAATGACAATTGCTTTGGATATGCTCAAGAAACTCTACAAGGTAGGAAAAAGCTAAAGAAATTTTAGCAATATACAGAACATCTTACCTAAAGGTTGAAAACCTATTTACACAAGTATCCAGGGATTACAAGTCTCTCGCAAGTTGTGGTAGTATCCTGGAAACCATTATAGTCCTCTCCAATCCAACAAGTAAGCAAAATCTCCTGCATTATAAAAATTCAAAATAGTAATACATGTTTTTCCTACTGTATTACTAAATATATCCCTGAGTAATATTGCATGTAGCAAAATACAATAAGATGTGTTTCAGCAAGCTCATAAAACACAGGGGTCCCAAGTTGAGAAAGTCAAATTCCTGGAGATTTTGTCGTGCAGGACAGGCAGAGCTACTAGCTGAAACACATATACAAGGACATGTGTATACAAATTTATCACCTTGTTCAATATGAAAACAAACTGTCTTGGGCAGATTTGATACCATATTGCTGCCTAGAATGTTCAATAAATCTTATTTAATGCATAAGAATGGGAAAATTATCTTAGCAAAAGCCCTAATTGTAAAAATCTGTTAAAATCCAGGAGAAATACAAGAGAAATTTCCGGGAGACTGGAAGATGAACCAAAATTCCTGGCGACTTTAGGGCAATCCGGGAGGCTTGGGAGCCCTGCAGAAACACCATCTTCAGCTTTAATTAATACTGAATGAGCTGCCCACCAAGTAGTCATTAAACAATTTCAAATTTTTGCCTTGTGGTTCCATCATCTATCTACAGTACTTGTATTGTTAAACAGTATTTAAAAAAATACAAATTAGAAATATTCCCAAGAATGTACATTATAAATATGTGTCAAATGAATTTTGGTGTGTAGAAATATCTTCATAATGTCCATCTTTTTTTTTTTCACAATTTCAAAGATCAGTGAAGACAAGGAGATTGTTCCATACACATCATTCTACATTCCTGAGGCTAATTTATTCTCATACGTGTTGGAAGGGACATTTCATCCGGGTGCATTGGTTAGTGCTATATTAGTTCCTCAATTTTTCCACAGCGAATGATGATGAAGTTCTTTGAACATCCATTTATTTTGGAGAATGATGTGAAGATGCAACTTTTACTATTTGATAGCCAGATAGAGAAAGTGGTAAGAAAAGATCAATTTATGTAAAGAATAAGATACTGTATACAATATATTATACAAATAGTGACTACTTGTAAGGGGAATGGTGATATCTATTGCTTCTCGGTGATGGAGACCGTAGCCTATCAGATCTTCCCGAGGGCCACATCACCGACGGGATATAGATTTTACTGTTCATCTAGAGCAGTCAATATTTGTTTTATATACCTCACTCATAGATTATATGAGACCTCAAAAGTAATGAAAATATACACTAAATAGGCCTAGGCTTACTTCCTAGGCCTAGGCGATCAAAAGGCCAATCTCTTTCAGCGTTGTAGAGGTCATGTCCCCTTTACTGTTTGTGTGTATCATAAATTATATAGCAACACTAATAGGTGGCAGGCTAGAGATTGTGCATCGCGGCAGGGCAAAAAAAAATACTATCTCTATCATTCTAACCTATGTCATAAGAGTGATGGTTAAAGTTATTGCCTGCTTATTCAATCAGATGCCTAGAATCTATGAATGTTGTACATAATTATTGATAGAAAGATTGCTTGATTGGTAAATAAGATGTTTGCTCTTTTGTTTGCAGAATACAATAAGTGAGGAATTCCGCAAAGGTTTTCTGCTAGCTTGCATGGGCTACATGAACACAGAATTTTGCCCAATTGTAGTTTTGACCATTAACAGGGGAGACATTGTAGGAAGTACTCTCAGGCAGCTTAAGAGCCAATCAGATGAAGACTTTAAGAAAATTTTGCAGGTGAAATTCAAAGATGAACCAGGAGTGGATGATGGTGGTCCTATGAAGGTCAGGATTGTTTATTTTTCAAGATATATCTTCTAAATCATCGGTAAAGCACTGGCGGTGCTACAATATACCTGACAGCATGGCAACGCCCCCGACCGGCAGGACAATTGTGCCATCTAAGGGCCATATGCCAATGCCAGGGGGAGGGTTTTGAAAACCCCCCTCGCCAATGAGAAAATGTTTGAAAGCAATATACAAGGCAGTGCAAGGTTTTTTTTTTATCCCCTGACGAAACTCAACTCACTTCCCCAATGGGGGGACAATTATGCCTCTCCGATGTGGGGCTGTAACTTCTCCAAGCCCCCACTTCCCTTATAGCGCCACCACTGCCCCAAAGGTGGTTCTGAGAGTGCTGGTTAATAGAAAAACAAGCAGTAAAAAATGTAGACTTAAACTACAGTGCTTAAACTAAAAAACAGTTCCAAAAAGCATGTGCGCTATTGGTTTAAGTATCCAGAACAGGGCTACATCCACCAATGTCAAAAAACAGTGTCGCTGTAACATCCGGGTGCACGCAGGCTCTCCGTTAGGCAGTATGCTGGGCTCCAGTAGCTTCCACCTCAGAATAAGCCCTCGTCTCTACTACCGTGCACTGCAAAAGACAACAACCCTGTCTCAAGTAAGGAACAGGTGAGGCCCAGCTCTGGACACTCGACAAACGACAGTACATCCATCATTAATAAAAACTTCCCTAGATGAAATAAGGAAAAACATATCATGCGTATTCAGCATTGTTAAACAGAAAGGTTTTATTTAGGCTCTTTCCAGCAAAAATAATTTTTATGAAATCACTTAAATTACTCAATTTGTAGTTTTTCATAAAATTTCTGGCAGAAATGATTTCCTAGCTGCAACCCACAAGTTAGATTCTAGCTTAACAATGGCTCTAATGCACAAGTGCTAGGTTTTAGTAGTATCAAAGAGGAAATGTCTGGGAGTCATATCAGTGGCAGTGCCAGTGGTGTTTGGGGTTGGGGGGCGGGGCAAGGAGCTTAACCCCCTCCCACCGGACAGAGCTTGTCGGGCAGTCGGACCAAAACAAAATTTTAAAATAGGCCCACGCCAAGACAACACGTCTGTCACAGTCATAAAATTCCATTTCTGGCCATCCAAAGGTGCCTTTTTCAATTGAAAGCCATTTTAATTGTTTGAGTAATGGGGTTGTACTACTGCGCATGTGCGAGCTGCCCTGTTTTGCAGCAATTACAAGGACTTTACATTATTTTTAGACGTTTCTGAAAGTAATGCGTTACAGCTAATCTACTTAGAACTAATAACTGTAGTGCACGTTTTGTCTATATGGTATAATTTCTAATGCAAGAAATGTTTCTAAGATAAAAATTTAACCGTTGGGTCCTGGAAACGTTCAGATCCATGTTTAGATGTTCATAAAATATCATTCTTTATTGACAGGAGTTCTTTTTGCTGATTTTTCAACAAATTCTTGATCCGCAATTTGGGATGTTCAAGGAATTTAGCAAATCACGAGCAATTTGGTTCAATCCTCAGGTATGGTACTTACTCAGCTGATATTTTTAGAATTACCAGAAAGCGTTTAATCTTATTTAAACCTCTACATCACAGTTTTATTAAGAATGACACATGCCAAAAACCAAGAAAAAAGTGTTTGAACTAATCAAAGATGCCTACATGAATAATAACATTTCTGATCTTATTTTCAAGAACTACATTTGTATTAATAATTAATGAAAACAATAAAGTATATTAGTATATTATAGTTTACATTTCTGTTCCATAACTTACAGTTTAC